ATATATATATATATATATATATATATATATATATATATATATATATATATATATATATAATTTTTTTTCTTTTCGTTTAATTGTCTGGCATTTGTCCTAAATGGACCTAAATTGCTAGATTGTCCTAAACTGACCTAGTGCTCTGGTAGCAGTAAATACATTTTATAGTAATGCTTTTAGTAGCTGCATCCTTTTCTTTATTTAAAAGGCAATCTTTAACTAAAAGTATTTTTGTTAAATTCAGCCAGTTAAAGGCTATAAACCTGTAAAAATATGAAGTTTATGTTAATTTATTTATCTATGTTAATTTATTGCCCTGGGTGTTTGACACACTTGTGCAACTATACAAACCAAAATTGGTGTAGATTGGTATACAGTGCTTTCTGATATGTAGTCCTTTTTATTAATTAAATAATTTTGAGAGCCAGCCAGTATCGGCTCAATGCCATCTGTAAATAAAGCTGGTTATAATTTGGACAAACCAGAAAACAACAAGTGAAGGATTTTTCTTTCCTTCTTTGTATGGTACAGCTAGAAAAAAAAAAACTTTCCCTACATTTGGTCTGAAAACGTTATGTTATGTTATTTCCTATTTTTCATACCCTTAGGAATTATGGAAACAGATGGAGAAGTGGCAAAAAATGATAAAACGGATGGTGAGGCAGTGATTTGTTATGTTTAGAGAAACAACAGCTAGCTTGTTCACCTGGTTATTTGGAGAAATGGGGTTGCTAAAACCCAAGTTGAAAAAGTAACAATGCAGTAAAATGTAGCTATTTTGTTTTTTGAAGTGCAGCTTTTGTCACAGGCCAGTTCGTAACCATGGTGAATGATAGGCAAATTCCGGCTGTAACAGAGCAATCTGAAATCTCTTCATAGGATGATGGTTTGCAACATTTGACTTCTGGATAAAAGACAACATAAATCTTCACTTTAAGAACTCAAATTCCAGTTTGACAATTAGTCATTGCTAATTTTGTCTTTCGTCTTAATCATATGAATGACCTTTAGACATATGAATAAAAACAAAGAGCTACAATCATTTGAGTTTATTGTGTAAAGTAGAGACTCACAGCGGCGTGCAGACTCCTGGCTCAGCTCCAGCCTATAGATGGACAGTCTATTGGCTCCTCCACACATGTTGCTCCTCTCTCCCTTACACTCCATGTTGCATTCACTATCAGAAGCGTTGGGTGCCTGGATCTTGTGCCCACAAAAACACTCTGCCCCAAACTCCAAACCTGCATACATGTACCCTCTGTAGGACAGACATGGAGGAAAACAAAGAGCTTCAAGTGTTGGTCCAGAACCTTCATAGTGTTTTTTTTTTTTAAATCCACCCTGGGTATTATCCTTCATCCTGCTAAAACACAACATGAGCTATAATCGATAAAAACAAACACATGATGCACCAGGGATGCTAAGACGAAAATGGAAACACATTAAAGTAAAAGATCGGTTTCTGGTGACTGAAAATGAGCTGCGTTACATCTGATGCAGGCCTCTAGGATGAATCCAATTATAGGTATGTGGTTTACACAGAAAGGGGAGTCACACAAGGTTCTAGGTTTTCTTTTATAAAGCATTTGACTCCCAAGAAACCTCTCAGATACAATTAGACGTTTACCATAGCTCAGAGACAAGAGGAATCTCCTGAGCTGTCAGTCCCACCCAAACCTCTTTGCACTGCTATGTGCCACCCCTAATTGTTTGCCTGTTTTTTTTTTTATTAACCTGCTCCTCTGGGAGACAGAAAAGAGGCAGGAGGCACGAACCAAGAGAGAGGGGAGCTGGAAACAAGCGTTTTTCTTCGCTCATGCTCTCAGCTCAGTTGCGAAGCAGTGATGGGTGTAATTTAATGCACTTGATAGAGCTGTCCCAGGTATTCAGCAGGGAGGGGGAAAAGAGGTGAGAGGGAAATAGCGCGGTAGCAGAAGGAGAAACAGGAAATTAATGGAGCAGGGGAGTGAAGAGATTTTAAAACTGACTGACTGTTTCTCTCACTTTAAAAGCAGAAGAGGTTCTGCAGCATCTTCAATAAATATCGTTTTGAATTCAACCAAACATTAAGAAATTACAAGAGTATCTCCATTTCTACATTAAAACATGACTGGTGGATACATGTGTTATTTTTTTACAAGTCCCTGTTATCTGGAAACATAAAAATAGCATTTGGAATATAATTTTTTTTTATAAAAAATGATTTTATTACTTTTAATATTGTTGAATCACTAATGTCCCACTGAGGACTTTGGCATAGTGACAGTTTAATTGCTACATATGCAGCACAAGCATATTACACTCATATATAATGTACTAACAAGTTGATGAGACGATATCTGTGAAAACTCTGATAATCCAAAAATATAATCTTGTTTTCTAATAAATATATCTTGTTTATCCTTTTCTATCTTGTGGGACTACAATGACAGTTAGTGAACTATATCTGAATAAAAAGCATAATATATTTTATATATATATAAAATACTTTTTATTTTGAGGAAATCAACTCAAAAGGGTGATATAAAGAGAAATGTTCTATTATTAGTTTATTGATTATTACCTATATGGGTTATTTTTATGCAGCTCATGTCATTAAAACATAAAAAAAAAATGAAACACTTTAATTCCTCACACTTAGTTATATATTTTAATTATTTATCCTTATTCCTTATGATGATTATAGAATAGAGCTAATTAAAACCCAAAATGTAGTTTCTCAGAAAAGCTGCGGTATAATTAATAAACTACTCAGCTTAATCTCTCTGCTGAGACTCATCAGTAGAAAAAGCCCCCAAAAAAGTGAAGGGAGGGGGTTGTTTTGTGTGCCTGTGTCCTACCTTTCAGCACAGTTGTCCTGGCAACGAAATACAGTCATTTTTTTGTAGTCAAAAAAAGAAACTCCTCTCAGTGCTCTTTTCTGAGTGTCATCAACATAGCAGCCGATATACTTTGCTGGAAAATAATCAAATACAAACGACATTAAGACAAAAGGTTGAAATTTGCAGACAAATTTAGCAATTACACATTGATCTTAAATAGATGCAAGTTCAATACATAAAAGCACTTAGATGTTTATTTTTTTTAAGCATCAGATGTGAAAAATATAATCTGCACTATGTTATGTTTATTCCTAGCAACTAACAACTAGCAGTTTTCTTCATAAGCCTTCATAGTGCAGTTAAGGAGTCCAAACTGCGGCTGTAACTTCATTTATTTATTAGGACACACATCTCCTTCTAGTGGTCTGTGGCTGTAGTAGCAGTCATCTGGCTGTTTTTCAGACATATGTGTGTGTCTGAGTGAAACCTCTGAAGAGTAAAACCTTAACCCCTCAGCAGTTTCTTGCCCTTAATAAAAACAATTTTCTCCAGTTTACCCAGGCTGTGGAAGCTTCCCTGTGCAAGCACTGACCATCTGTGCCATTACCTCTCTGAGCTCCAGCTAATGTCCAGATGAGGGAAAATCCCTGCATTAGTTTAATTGTTATGGCATTTAAGCAGCCTGTGGCGAGCTGCTGCCAGCTGTAATCCTCCTGCACAATCACTGTTGAGCTAAAAAACAATCTATGAAGAAATGCTGATTAATTGCTTTGCATGTTTGTGCTCAAAACAACATGAGCACATTGGGACGATGCTTTAGATGCACCGGATTGTACCTTGCTGAGTCATGTTAGTGTTTTAGGCAAATTTATTCCCTGGAAATGTCCTCTTCCCTCAAATGCATGCAGCAGTCCATTTTTTCTGCAGCACACAGCACAAAATTGTGCTGCAGCCTGCATTTCGAATTAGACGGTTTCCTGAAATCTCTTCCTTAGATCCTCAGAGGTGGACGGAATTTAGAAATGAGAGGAACTAACCACACCTAGGAGTCTTACAAAGATGTTTTAGGCTACAAGTATGATGAGAACTGCTGGATGCATCAGGGAAAACAAACACTTTGAAGCTTTTAATTACTCTATCATCACATTCAGTTGCTGTCCCAACAGATTACAATGAGAAAAAAGTAAGAATCAAGGGAGGGGTGGGCCAGTTTGAGAGTTAGATTACATCAGATAACCCAAAGCTGAACATGTTGGTTTTCTTGTCCTTGAGAAGGGAGAGGTATCCCTCCACTTTGCTACTTTTAGAAAAATATTCCTCTTTGATATTCTACTTTGTGAGACACAGCAGGGCAGCTTACTGAGGGGTTTATTTAAAAAATAAAACATTTGCTTTTGTTTCTGGTTTGACCTCCGTCAGACATACCAGATGTTTCAAGGGTTTCCCAGGACTTGAAAATCCTGAACCTACAGTACATGTTTTCTCTTCAGCATTAGAACAAAACGAAAGGCAACAACGGTGCATCAGTTATCAAGCAGCACAAGACTATTAGAAATTGAGTCATTATGTGATTCATGGATTAATGCTTAATTTAAATGTTTAAAGAAATGCTTAATATATAAGATAAGTCATCTTACTTCCAGTCTAACTGTAACGGAACCAATAATGGCCCAAATGCATTAAACTCAGACACTGTTTCAAAGCAGTTGTGTCTCTTATACAAGGATCAATTCAATAACCATTTCCTCTCATTTTTAATTTAACATTCCAGTTTAATTCATTAGATGCCACTTTAAAAACAAAACAGATTTCATATTAAAAATTCTGATCATAAAAAATAAAATCAGCTTTTGCCTAAAATTTCCTTTTCTCCATTAACGCACACACCAACATTGTTGATAATAAATTAGGCATGTCCCGCGTCGCTGAGGACTTCAAAGCTATCTTTGGAAATAGTTTGTATAATAGTGATTAAATAAAAATTTACAAAGCATCTATAATGATGTTAACTATAACACTTACACATTTTGCATTCTTTTGCATGACCTAAATAAAATATTGGATAAACTTCCGCAGACAGCAATAATAGGAGTGCAACTTAAGTTAGCTGGGTTATTAGGCTGCATTTCTGTTCCTATGGCAATCTACTGTGAGATGCTTTATATGCATGCTGTTCATAATTTTCTAGTTGTAGATTTGAAACTAAAAAGTTTTAATAGACAGCTTAGTAAGAGGTATGGGTTGCTCTATTTTAGTCGCTACATTATAAGCGACTGACAATATTTCCAGAGGTGCTATAATTATTCTTTCTTATAAGCAAAGAAAACAGCATCTTTCAGCCAGCTGACCAGCAGTGGACATCACAGAGGGAGACTGCTTTAAACACTACTTTGTATAACCACAGAACTCTGGCAGGTTTTCCGGAGTGCAACTGAAAACCTGCTACAGTTAATGTGTTGTCTTCAAGAAATTAAAATTATAAAAAAATTTATCTGAAACTTCGTTTTTTCAAAAATATAGAAAAATCCTAAAACAGATTTTTAAATTAAAAAGAGTTTGAATAATAAATGGCATAAATAAATGATAACGCTTCCTTTGGTTTTGGGTTAGAAAGCTTCCACGATAAAAAAAAACTTAGGTTAGTGTCTGATAAGCTAGTTTTACTTCAAATAGTCCTTAAAGGAGGAACATTTGTTGGTAGACTTAATTTCTCATGTGAACAACGAGTTTACATGTAAACCTGCTGCATAGCGTCCACCTGCAATAATCACAGATCAAAATCAAATGACGTGTACTAATTTTGAAGTTGTCATAATATTATTTGGCTCAACATAAGCTGGTCAATACAAAGCAAAGCTCCAGCTAAAAACAAAGATTGAGATGAAAAAAAAAGTTAGAAAACTCCTCCAAAATATTTCTAACTCAAAGGCATTTTTTAGTTCTGAGCTGTGCAGACTCTGCAAATGTTCGTGCATCGGTTTAATAACAGCGTGAAGAAGGACACTGTCTGCTTGTGTGATTACCAAGTAATCCTTTATTTTCTCTTCATTAAAATTCTATTGCATTGTTCTTCTTGTATTTTTCTTGCATGTTAAAGAATCATAACAGATATTTTACACCTTTTTCAAAGCTCCAGTCCAGCTTGTGTCTATTCTGTATATAAGGAGAATCCTGACTTCATTTAGAATTTTTATTAAATAAATTTAGGACTCAAACACTAAGAAGACGCTATAAAATACAGACTTTATTCTCACCTCTTCCTTCATCCAGGTCTTTGGCATTGCGCCCTTTAAGAGCTCGATTCCAGCTGCTGGTATAGTCTCCCCCTCTTCCAACTGAGTCGTGCTCCGTCTGTCCGCTCCTCCTCATCCAACGAGGTCCAAATCTCCGTCCGGACCTGCGAGTCTCCTTGAATACCCTGCTCATGATGCCAAGCCCCCGAGTGTCTGATAACGAAGCCCGTCCGCCTGCCTCTGAAGCAACTATAGAGTCCCGGCCCCCTCGGGCACCGGGACTGCTGTCCCCAACAAAGCCAGAATGCAGGAAGACAAGGCTCCCTGCAGTCAGGTAAAGCAAGATGAGGGAGAAGAATCGGATGGGTTTTCTGCAGAAGTATCGCTGTATCCTCAGGAGAGGCTTTGCCATGCTGGCTCCCCCTGCCTTTGAGACACACTGTCACAGTGAAGAAAACTCATAAAGTAGAGGAATCAATACCAGCTCTCACTTTACTCCTGAACAGACCCAATGGGCATAAAGGGGGAAAAAAAAGGTCTGTCAAAGTGTATCTCATATGAAGGTCATCCAAGCAATCACATGACTCCTCGCTCATGTATGAGCCTTCTGCCTCATGTGGAAGATGCTCTGCATGGGTGAGCTGTGCCTCTAAGCAGAATGCGACCACGTGAGAGTCTGAGTCTGTTCCCACCAGCAGCTTGGCCCTCACAGCCGGCTTACAGGGCCATGGCAATGAAAGGTGAGTGGCTCATACTGAAAGATGATCTCTCAACGCTGCTTTCACCTCCGCTATCAGCCTCACTGAGATGCCACACCAGTACTGCAGCAGCACTTTCTCCCACGCTGTGCAGAAGGAAGAGGGCTTTATTTACCAGCTGAGCTAAAATCCTTCGACTTTTATTTACCAAGATGGTTCGGACAGAAGAGGGTATGACTCACTATCTGCAGCCAGGATGCACATCCCCACCTAGAGAAACAAGAATAAAGAGAAAAACCATGAGTAATATGAAGAAAATGATGAATAACAGATAAAAAACCTTAACAGCTGGAAATCAGTAAAGATCGATTGGAAGCAAGGATGCACTGATCAAGACATTCCTTGTCAAAATTATGACCAGTTTTCAGTAAAGTTTGACCTTCCAATTCAAATATTGAGCTGGTGATATTTTGTGGTATTACATGATAACAAACAAAGGGGCAAATAAGCAACAGGTTGATAAAAGCAGTGGTCTCGAATGCAACTAAATAAAAAGAATTAACAAATTATTCTCCATTTATCTACTAAAGCTAATGTCACTCGTTTGATTTGAATTAACCTATATTAATACAATTATTAGTTTAATGCATTAAAGGGATAGAAAAAATATTGTGCAATGAGGGAGAATCTCTGGATGACAAAATGCAGTGTAAAGCGAATCATAATATATATTATTCATTAGAGAAATTAATAATATATACCGCAATAATTTAGCAGTTAATTAACTAATTTTGATAATAAACATTGCTTTCTTGCAGTTACCAGACAATATTGTCTTTATGTTTCATTTAAATGTAATGGCCTAGATAAAATGTATGTTTAAATTTTAAACATGTTTTTTGTCAAACAATATTTCCCTGTTTTAGCGTAAAAGTAATTTTCTACACTTTAGTAAGCAGAGTAAAAAAATAAAAGACTAATGAGCAGGCAACTAAGAAATCTTAAGACTCTGGGGGGGAAAAAAACATGATTAAACAAATCTGGAAGCTTGAAAGTGACAGCATTAGTGCAAACAAAGAAAGGTTAAGAACCTGGCTGGTTTAGAAAGCCCATTAAGTATCTGAATTACATGCTGTTCTGAATATTTGTTTTCTTTACATAATTCAGTTTTGATTTAGTGAGGACAGACTTTTTCTTTTGTTCTTTTCTCTTTGACTTTCAAAACCCTCTCTCAAAAGAGTCTCTGTTCTGGGACAAGGCAGGACGAGGCTAAGAATGAGAGGCGTAATGCAACACTTGCTCACAGAATTTTCCAGAACAGTGGGGAGGACACGTTCCAGCCTCAAGGCTTTTCTGTTCGCCCTTGGACAAACCTGCACGGTTTTTTGTTACCTGAAGCTTGCAAACGTTTCCCCTTTCTTAGTTTATTGTTATTACTCTAACCTCATTGTCTTGGGTAACCTGCAGCATCAGCAGACAAAGAGAACCCTCATTCTGTCTAAGGTTCCATTGCTGATGGTATTGTCTGATCACTTCAGAATCGGATCTTTTTCCAAATCTCTGACAGAAGAACTAAGTACTTTGAATTTAGAACAAAAGGGGTTGGGAAAATAATCTCTAACAAGGGCTTTTAGTTTCAAGCCATTACTAAGGACATAAAAAGAATGAATGAAAAAGGGTCAACTATGTTTGTAAGAAATTAGCAATTGTGTCTAATTGCAGAGATTGTCTACGGCATTCAAATTTCCTTGAAAAATAAACCCTTTAACTTAAACACATTTTAAAATAGCATGTTAATAGACATGTTTAGTTGCAGGTTTTGTTTTAACACTGCTAATTTGCAACATGAACAACTTCAACAAAATAACCAAGTTTATATTTTTACAATGCAAGTTTGTTTTTTTTTTTGGTTTTTTTAACTGGGCTGCATGGAGGAGCAGTTTGTAGCACTGTTGCTTTGCAGCAAGAGGGTTGTGGGTTTGATTCCTGGTCCGGGGTCTTTCTGCATGGAATTTGCATGTTCTCTCTGTGGGTTCCATCCAGGTACTCTGCCTTCCTCCCACAGTCCATAAACATGACTGTTGGGTTAATTGGTGTCTCTAAACTGTCTTTAGTTGTGGATGTGTGTGTGTGTGCATGGTTTCATGTCTTCATGTGTCTCCGTGTATCCCTGCTACAGACCGGTGACCCATCCAGAGTGTAACCCGCCTCTCGGCCATAGACTGTCGGAGATAGACACCGGCCCCACTACGACCTTGGTGAAATAAGCGGGTGAAAGGATTTTTTTTACTGATAAAAAAAAAGTGTCCTGGAATGTAATAACAAATAATGACTTTATGTTTCCATGCAATAAGTATAACATCATCAAAATAAGAGGTTTTTAAAGTGGGCTTTGCAACCCCTTGGGATCATGAGAAACCAATTAAAGAGTTCCAATTATTTTCAAATTTACCGTGATGTGATCCCTGAGGTACTCAATACATAAATATCATGAAACGAACACATGCAAATCCCTAGTGACAAATAAATTTACCTTTTTTTTTTTTTAAGTGAGCATATACTGTTAATTCTAAAATAAATTAAATCAAATATAATCTGTAAATAATTTCTTTTAAAAATATTCAGTATATAAATATAGAGTAAAATAATCATTTTCAGGGGGTTGCCAGACTTTTACCCTTGTTTTTGGGATCGCAGGCTGAAAATATTTACAAACCTGTGATCTCAAACTTCATTTTTTTAACCACTCTCCTTAACAGAAAAGTCAAGAAAAAATGCCTTTTAAGTGTTGCATAGATGACAAAAAAAAAGCTTCTTACCTAAATGGCTAAATTTTCACTCTCATAGCATAACAAAATATTCAAAGAACTGAAGCTTTGACTAAAAAGGCTGGATGAAGACTGAGGCTATACCTTATCAGTCTACAAGAAGCCCACCAAGGGAAGCAAAAAATGTATAATCTCAAAAAAATTAATCATGGAGAACTGCAGCAAATCTTTCAGGGTTATATTATACAACCTGAATGTATTTTAAGGCTTTTAACACGTTTATATGGGTGCAATTTTATGTGGAGGATGCTGTAAATGAGAACATTCAGACCAGTACCTGAGCATCACATTAAGTGCAAAATAGATGTTTGGTTTGAACAAATAAAGAAAATTAAAACTGTAAAATTCAGGTTTAAGTATATACAAAAAGGAAAATGAATAGATTTTCGCTACTCATTTTTCTTTCATATTTTCTTGTACAGTTCAGCTGAAGTTTAGAGTTTGGTTTTTAAATCCCATCAGCAGCCTTTGTTCCATAGGAGTTTGCACAGTTTGTTTTTTTTCTTAATATTCCTACAGTTCAGCAGCTGTGCAAACAATCGAAAAGTTACTCCCGGCTTAAAATGAAACCCTTCTGATAATCTGCAGTCTTTATAGTTGGAAAAACACTTAATTATATGTAGTCACTAATAAAAATCATGTTTGTTTAAAAATGTAACTGTTGGAAAGAGATATTTAGTCATGTCAAGCCCCCGGTTATAATATTGAAACAAAAAAATAAAGCTTGTTATCCCAGCATGTTTATCACAACTACACGAGCGACATCAGGAATATATGAAGAACATCACAATCCTCCAAGAAGTGTTTAGTTTTAGGGTAATGTGTTTAACTGATGGCTGTTCTGTCTGCTGCAGGTAAAAAGCTGTGACGTGATGATCTGAAAACACAACAGATGGTTTTATGTGTGTGAACAGATGGAGAAATGTGCAGGTGATACCCAACAACTGTGCCACTCATGAATCCATCAGGGGCCTCTGCAGGTTAATTACTGATGTAAATAATTCACATCTCCCCTTAGCTAAGGTAGGGAATCTAAGCAACAACAAAAACCAGGCATGGATCCTAAAGAATGCAGAAGGCGAAAGGAATACAGTCAGAGCAGCCTTGGAGCTGTAAAGTATTTCTTTAAAATATGTCAACAGTATTTGTTCTTTTAGAGGTAATACAATGAAAAATCTTGAAATGATTCCACTAGATCCACAATTGACCTTTGCACTGCTTATCAATGGAGATGAATAATTTTCAAACAGTTTTCTAAGCCTTCAGCCTACCTAAGAAAACAATGTTTCTTGAAAAATAAAAGATACCTGTAGTAAGAAAAATATAAGAAATTGACAAACGGTTTACTGACAAGGAAAGCAATCGGTACTTCACCAAAATATCTTTTGTATAGTGTCATCCCAACCACTATTTCTAAGCACTCTATTCCAGCATTATGAAATAATTAAAATCTTGGGTTCAGGTAAGAGATTCAAAGCTAAGGAATAAAAAAATTAATTAATTAATTACTTTTTGCCTGAACTGGGACAGATAGCTTTAGGAGTCAGCAGGCAGACTCTGATGCCATTGCAGGTGTTGTTTGTGAGCTTAAAAATTTTCAGGGAATGAATTCAAGATAAAAATAGCCATTTTCTTATTTGTCTTTTGATGGTTAAAAAAAGGCTTCAGTTTTAAACAATATGCTGTTATGACAGATTATGTCCTTTGAATAATAATTTTTGCATTTGTTTTTAAGTTTTGACAGCAATTTTACTCTAGCGCAGTTCAACTTTAACAAGTATATAAATAGCATGGTATGATCATGTGAAAAAAAACATTTAGCTGCTTCCATTTACTATATTTTACACAATAAAACACTACTTCAGTATTCAAATGTTAAATGGACAAAAGGCAGTATAATGGACATCAGTTATATTTTTCCTAAACAACTGAATCATTCTAATGCTACAATTTTAGTGTTAAACAGAAAATTAATTGAAAAGAACTGATCTGGATTTTTACAAAGTTTTTGTAAGAGTTCAGATGAGCTAATTAAATCCCCACTTATTCACTTGTATGGCAAATGGAGCAATATGAAAACAAATAGGAGCAGGTTTCATAATCCAGAACTTGAAATTTAATTTATCAAGAGCAGAGATTGTCCTTTCTGTAAGCAAACGGCTCATCAGGTCAAATCTATAAATAATCTCTATATCTGCCTCAAGCATCAGTTGAAGTAGAAGAGAACTAAGCAAGAAAGACATGCAGCTGCCCTCCAGTGTTCACAGACAAGTGTAAGCCATCTGAGCAGAACTGTTTGGGCTCCACATGATACCAGCTGGGAAAGAATGTCTGCAAGGGTTTGAGTAAGTAGTTTTTGAAAGCAACAAACTGAACTTGATATCAACTAAAAAGAAGGTCGTTACAATTCTTCTCACAAACTAACCAAAGCTCTGAAACTGAAACTGGAAGTTTAGCTTTCCAGGGGATGAATGCATGACTAAAGCGTATGAAATATTAATCCCTGTTGCTTTGTTCTTCAGGCATAATCAATTTCTATCCCCTTGTCACGCTTCACACTAAATGTTTCTTTCTCTAAAACCGTAAGAGAGGTATTTTAACAGCTAGAACTCCCTCTGTAGCTCACACCAGATGAAGTAAATCACCAGCGATATCCTCTCAAAGCTGAAAATTACTTTCCTTGCTTGGTCTTCACAAATATTTGAAAAGCAGTGGAAAACAAGGGTGTGACAAAAATGTCAGCAAGGTCTCTTTTCATCTGGAGAAAGAAAGATACACTGACTGTAATTAACAATAGGCTTCGAGATACCGTTGTTAAAGAGGTATTATTACTATATGCAGGAAAGAAAAGGTCATCAACACCTCCTGTGCCAGGATTAGTGGGAAAGGAAGCTGTTTAACTTTTATTATCTCTATCCTCCTGTTTGCACAAAGAAAAGCTCAATCAACAACCAGATATGCACAGTGTGATGTCTCCTTCACATCAGGATCAGGAGGGTTAATAGCGTTTAGTACTGCAGGCCTGGCTCTCTGCCCATCCTGGGGCCTTCCTGTCTGCCTGTCTTACATGCTTGACCTCCCAGTGCATGTTAGCAATGTTTGTTAAAATCAAATCAAACTACAGCCTTTATTTTAGCTCTGGTAATTCCAGCAATTATGCTTGCAATTACAACAATGGTTTTCCACACAGCTGCCTTAAGATGATGATGCCTTAATCACAAAACAAAGAGAAAATTAAGGAAAGCAGCCAGCGGGACTGTTTCTCAGAGTTTTATCCAAAGAGAAGCTCTGTTTTTAATTTGTAAGCATAAGACTACAACCCCAAAGCAGGTGTTGAAGTGTTCGCTTTACATTGCACAGTCAACAGAGGGCCAAAGATAGTATTTTAAAGGGAGATAGCTTAAATAAGCAGGCCAATAAGCAGTTAGGTGCCAAAGTTTTACAGCTTTGCAAAACAGATTTAAGTGGGTGGATCAGTGCAGAGGATAACTCTTAGAAGTGCATGACCCTGAAAGGCTGGAGAGGCTGCTTCCAGTAAAACATGCTTACTCTGCCAAAACATTTCTCCATGTTTAGTGTTTGGCAGGAGCTTGCAAGGTATTTGCATGAGTTTTGCTTTCTATTCAAGCTTAAGGGCTATTGCTCAAAAAGAAAAATTATTACTACCTAGCTACAGACAGACAGAATCTTTTTTTCTTCTCCTGACATCTGGATGTGGGCACTTTCCTTTAATAACAATTAGCACCAAGCGCATTGTTAACAAGCAAATGCTACTAATAAGTTTTCTGCCACTGAAAGCAGTGGCTGTCCTCTTTTCTATACCAGACTTAGAAAAACTATGATTAACCCTATACATTTTTCCATGCATTGTAATGTTGCAGATAAAAAACACTTATATGTCTCTTAAATGGATTTCATCAACACAAATCGGTGCACAGTTGTGAAATGGAAAGATATACGACTTTACACATCTAAAACTAAAATACGTGTGCATGCACTGCATTTACCTCGCTCTGCTCTATTACTCATGAACGAAGAGTTATGTAATCACATGCCAAAAAGTTAGCAATTATTACCTCACTTTAAAAAACAGAAGTGAATAAACTCAAAAAGCCCAAGGAACATAGGAGAACTTTAAAGTGATACCCTGAGCTTTGAACATCCCATAAAGCATCACTCAACCCATCATCTACAGTAGAAATAATAAAAATAAATAGCAATCCTAAATCTACTAAAGTGAGACCATTCACATACACTGTATGGGAGGAGGGCTATGTTTACTCTGTGGGAGCTGGAGAGCTCCAAGGCTTGGGTGGAAGAATCTGAGGATACAACTATTCTTTTTGTATCCTACAAATATAGGGAGGAGTGATACAGAGAGGTTATTGTTGAAGGAAAACCAAATTGAGTCATATTTCTGCATTGGCAAAAGCTATAATGAGGATGCAACAAACATGGAAAAGGAAACCTTTAAAGAGACAGCTAATTACATTTTTTTAAACATATAAAATCACACAACAAAAAAAACATTTATCTGAACACATATCACATGATTTGTTTATAATGTGAGGATATTTTTAGTTTATTTCTTAGCAGGAACCAATATTTTAGTCAAAAATGATTGGAATGTGTACAGGGCAAAACACTAATTTATATTTGTATAAAACGGTACATGGGACACCAATTTGTGACCAGGTGACCATATCTAAAAAAGGAAGTATGTGTGTTTTAACAATTAATTGTGAAATTTTATTAATAAATTAGCTTTGAAACCAGTGGACGATGTCCACATTTCCCATTAGTGACATGCTTAAAGGTTAATGTTATATATTAAATCCAGAGTTGTTTAGGAATTCCTGCTTTTATTCAGTTTTTAGGTCAATCAGAAGCAGATACTGCACTTTTCTCTGTATGGCAGAGTTATGTATGTAGTTTCTTTTCCATGTGACACACCTGTAGAAATGTGTTTTATTACAACAAGCAATGACTGATTTCTAAAGCTGTAGAAAAGGGCTAAAGTTGCAACAGATTATCCAAAGAGGATACAAAGGTTTCTGGATATCCTTCAAATGCTTTGGACATTAAAGAAACAAGACATATCTCAATAAACTGAAATGATTTCCAGTGACAGAAAGCCTTCTCAAAAAGGGTCTGTCCTTACAACCACAGCCAAAAGCTGCCAGGATTGTCGAGTATTTGCTTTGTTTGTTTGTATGGATGCGAGTCAGCTTTATATCCTGACAATCTTTGATGGACGGCGTGGATTCCTATTGGCAGGTGGAACACCTGTGTGTCATTTCAATTATGTCCTGCAGGGTTTATAAGGAGCAGTGCTGCATTCATTTTTTGCTTGATGGTCCTTCGCAGTTGGTACATTCAAGCCTCCTGAACTCTTGTGTGATCAACAACTACATCTGCTGCTCTCTGTAAAAATCATTCTATGCCAGTTCATTGATCTATCATCTACCTCCAGGTGGATCTCTGTCAGATACCATTCCAGTCAACTTCTAAGAACTCCATGGCTGACGTCACCTTCAGAAGTAACTTACAAAGCTGTGAACGATTTTTCCTCCCCAGCATTCACCCCTGATCCTCAAAACGTCTCTTTTGGCCTAACCTGGATAACAGTAAGCAAACAAAAAGCAAACAAAAAGTAATTAAAATTATAACGTCTATATTCTTTCAATATTTTATATCACAACTGACAACACATACAGTATAGGAATATCCCAACATCCTGTAATTTAAGACACCCTGACTCTTAATCTCTGCTGCTTGTGACTACTGTCTGCTGTGCTCCGGTGCTAACTCCCCAGTAAATACACATCCATTGTATACTATATAAGAGCATTTGTACTTGCAGAGTGGTGATTTGCATACAGCTATTTGTCAAATTTTGGTAGTGTGTATTTTTTGAAAAAAATTTGGCGAGGCTAAATTTGAAAGTATTGCCCCGGCTTTGATAGGCTTCAGGCGTAGTAGCCCTAGCTGCGTTAGCCCCTAAATGCAAAAATATTCCTTAATGCCTTTCTGTCATACAAACAATTGCATTTCCAGTTTATAGCTTGGGAGCTTTACTTGCTTTAATTCACATATGTAATGTCAGGGGAAATTTTCACATAAGACCCTCTAGGCTTAAGGGGTTAAATACACCAAAATGAGAACAAAACTAAATAATCAGCAAAGTCTTCTGCAAGCACTTTCAGGCTTTGCAGTGGAGCGTTTAAAATACATGCACTGGTGCATTAACGAAGCAACAACCAGTATAATTTGGGGATGAGGGACCCTTACCTCTAGTTAAAATCTCCAGGACCTCAACTACAGTTCAAACACAGTTGGACAGCTACAAACCTCAAGACTTAACTCGAGTGCGAAAGTAAATATTCAATTGGCAAAATATTACATTTTCTTTCTAACACCATTACAATTAGACTTCTAATTCTAACAGTGAAACTTCTCAATTTCCATAGGCCAAGTAATGTTTAGAGGTATGTGCGTATTTTTTCTCACCTGAGGGCCCAATTCTTGTAGTAGGCCTTAATATGGCATTTTGTTTGTTCTTTTAGAAATCATGAATTATTTTTATCTCTATGGTAAGATCATTTTCATTAGAGCCAAATCTGTCCAAAGAGCATAGCAGTTTTGCCCACAAAATGATTAAATTGAATAACTTGGGAGCCTTGCTAGGACAGTATGGCAATGGTAAGGTTGCAGCCATTGCACAACAATCACTTTTATAACACTCTTGATACAAAATCAAGAGAAAATTATGTCTGCAATGAAAATGCAATACTAAAAGCTCAACACCAACATTTTTTGCATGTTTGAAATAGTGACTGAATATATTGTGTTATTTAAAACATAGCAAAAAAATCATTCTCATGTTTTTTCTAATGTTTAATGTCATGGTTTGGTCTTAATCATGTGCTTCGGTAACAGCAGAGTAAGATGTAACATTTATGATTGTAAAAACCTAAACAAAAACAGTAATTTATTAGTTTTAGGGGGGTGGTTGGACCCCCATAATCATAGTTCCCATAATGAATAATCTGTGTACAAGTGTTTAAACCCCAAGCTGGTATTTATTTGTAAAGTGCATGTATGAAAGGAAAGGGGCTAAGAAATGTGTATACTCTGAAGAGCTTGTAGCTCTCTGTGCAACAGAAAAATGCTAGATGGGTGCAGCACTTTTACGATTTAAGTGGTGCTTTTGCACAAAAGGTTCAAGTAATTGGTTTGTGCACAGTGGCTATAGTAAACCAACTCTTTTCCCAGAAAAAGGTTTTAGATCCTATTTGAGAAAAAAAAACAAAAAAAAACAGGTTTTGTATGGATTATGCCCTTCTGATAAGTTGCTATGCACTTGCATTTGTTTATGGAGAATTGATGTTGACCATCTGTTGAAAATCCTCTTTCCATTATCATTCCATGTGGCATTGGGAACTTTGTGCTGCCTAATGGCAGAGTTACTGAGCTTAGCATGGCAGGGACAAGTTAGCTGTAATCCTGATAATTCTCAATGCTCCATTAGTGATGATATTTTTCTTTGAAAGAAGTAAATTAAAGTGTCTAAAAAAACAATGTATTCCTGATCTTTGAAAATAGCATAGTTGTGTATAACAACCAGTGCTGTAAAACGAGTAATCAAATTGTACAATACCAGTTAAAGATGGAAAAATCAGGTCGTATGTACAGAAATCAGAAAAAAGATCAGATAATTTTTGAAAATGACAATGCAGAAATTTGGATAACAAGAGCTTGGCTCTACAGTCTAAGGATTAACGTGTCAGAAATCAGGGAAACTCAAAATTTCCAAAATGAGAGCTTCTTATCTGGCTGACCAGCAGTCATATCCATGATCCCAGTTGGCCACATGGATGGATGTTTCAAAAACAATCACTTGAATGACCCTTCTCTAACAGCTTCATGAAAGAAGTCATTATTCTACAGCAGTGAGGTGCTATCAGTGGAGGATCAAATGAGGTCTTCTTCTATCCCTGCTTAGCAAAGCTCCTCATTCAGTGCCTTTCAGAGTGTCTGTTCTTCCTTCTTCAAATACGAAGAAAATTTCATCTCACACCTAAACTAGGCGAAGATGATCTTTCTGCCTTAATTAAAAGTGATTTCTTCCAGCTCTGTTCGGCTGTGAATCTGCCCTTTCTGCTAGAATGGACATAAGAGAGGATTGCAGATGCTTTCACAAATGGTTAATTTGTGGGGAAGAAAGAACAGGAAGACAGCTGGAGGAGAGAGCCAAGGCTGTCTAAAGAGTTTTGCAATTTCGAAATTGTTAATTTAAAATTGCGAAGCTGACCTTGTTGACCTAAAAAACTTAAAAATATGGTTTAATATTAAAAGTTGGAGAGTAACTTTTACCATTTATCAATGAAATACTAGTTTTTTGTAGAAATGTTCTCAGTAGTACCGTCTGGGTGTTAAATTTAAGCAAAGTAAAGTTTAAACACTAAGAATTATAAATATATATGGCAATCCATGTATATTTAAATATTCAAGTAGCTCCAGTTAATTGGTTATTCAACCTATAATGTGACTGCAGAACTAAACCACAAGATCAAATGACAGGACCTTACTTTTTAAATGAAAAATTACATTTAATGAAGTTTTTCTAATTTTGCTTTGAGTGAAAACACTGTTTTCTGCTAACTTATAAAGATATGTGTTATGCAAAACTAACAGCATTATTTACAAGACAGTGTTAGTTTATTTAAGTTGCATCAAAACTGTTAGGGTTTGGGGAGTGATTATCTTTTCTCCAGGTGTGATCAAGGAAATCCAATATGGGTCAGAAAACTCTTGACTTTGATGCAGAGTATTTATGAGGAAGGCAAATCTATAAAAGAAATGGTTCATGTAGCGGTTTTTTGGTTCAGATTATGTATATAGCATTCCCATAAACTCATCATTGTATATGTCACTGACTGATTGAATTCTTTTTTTGCATTGGCGCAATAAATCTTTTCCAGCTTTTTGGAAAAGCTTTTTGCTTCTTTTAATTTTTATTTTGACAATCTTTGGGGAGCAGCTATAAGTCTTTCAGGTCAAAGGGCTTCCTTATCATCACCCTAAATTTTGTCTTACAGATTCTGAACTATATTAAAATTAGGACTCTAGCTGAACTTATTTAAAATTTCAACTTTACTTCCAGTTGGAAAAACAATATTGATCAATTTAAAATATTCTTTTACTGTAAATCAAAATGTCCCAGGTATGAGCAATGCTGAGCTTAACAATCTACTACAGTTTTGATTCAGGGAAATCTTATGCACATTTACACTAGCCCTCTGAAACCGTTTTGTTCCGAAATCGAACCGACCTCGGATCAGTTAAGCGTGCATGGTTCTTACGACCATTTACACATCACGCTAGCACGGTTCCTCGCCTCCAATCAGTGGTCCACGATACTATAGCTCTCATGGCGGGAATTTCAAAACTGGACACACCAGAAAACCCGCAAAATGAGTCCGCTGACTGTAAATAGGAGATTACGCGGTCCGTTCATGCGCTTTTCATTACCCGAGATCCGACCCACAACTGAACCGTGCCAGGACCCTCATGGATTCCTCCTGCCTTTTCCATTTTGATCCGATTTAGAAATTCGCACCAGACCCAGGAAGACACTCACAGGGTGCCCCATTTAGTTAGCATTCATTGGATGCTATTCATCAATCACTACAGTGAGGACCACAGAAGGAGCCCACTTCTGCTCCAAAAATTACCAAAAAAAAAAAAAAAATCTCTTCTGCTGATGGTTTATTTTTATTTTCTTCTTTTCTGATGGTTTATTTTGGATTTTTTCCTTCAATATGCAAAATAATAAAGATGTTTTACCCAAGCCCAAGATGTGTTTAACTGTAACCAAGTAGCAGTAAAGAAATGTTTTTACATGAAAATTGTAAGAAAATCCAACCAAAGTTTCTGATTTGGACAAAGCCCAATTTGAAGAAAAGAATTCTCAGAATCATCTAAGATTCAATGAAGATTACTTATCATCTTAACCAAATTATGGCAAAGATTTACTACCCTGAGAATAAAAACAAGCTAAACATCGATTCACTCCAACATTTGTGTTGGGGAAACTTTTTTCAAGAGAAATGATAAAGAAAACTATCCTTGTGAAATCATTGATGCTCTTCCGATTCACTGAGTAGAGAAAGAAGAGAAAACCGGTCAAGTGCTTTGAAGTTCAGTGAGCAGACAACACAGGCCTTTTTACTGTTTGAGATGGATTCAAGTTCCAGTGTCAACAAGCACCCACTTTGCAGAAGTGTCCTTCACCAAGAATCCTCCAGCTCTGTTGTTCACCAGTCCTCCATTCAAATCACCCTCTGCAAGAGAAACATGACAGGGATGATTGGACTCTACTCTCTAAGAGAAACACGCCATGGTGCAGAAAATAGGAATTTCATTATACAGTACACCAGGAAACAACATTAATGTGTGCCTCCTACAGCAAACAAAGCAGTGTTCGTAGTGGTAAGTATTGACCAAACACCACTTCCTTTCCTCTAAAGAGCTGTTTCCTGCAAGAACCTGCAATGTGGTCTAAGAGAAGAATTCTGTGCAGCTGAGTGAAGGGAAAAGAATCATTACAAAATCATTACAAGGCTGAGGGCTTTTAGCACCTTTTTATCTGTCTCAGGGAAGTACAGCTCACAATCATCAATATAGACAGCATTTGGTATTTTTATGTATAATAGAAGCCAGTTTTGATTTGTTGTGGGTAAATTCCAGTAGCTCTACATTAAATATGTTTCTGTTAATGTAAAAGTGTTTATACTCATTGAGCCTTTTCACATTTCATAATGTTAGAACAAAACATGCTGTATTTTTTTAGGCATTGTGCGAAATTAGGGTGACCAGATTTGGGTCACCCTAATATCTGGGTGACCCACGGGGCCTCTGACTGGACTGGGCATTCGAACCAAGCCATCAGCTCCCGGGTCGCGATCCGGAGCCTGCCGGGGATGGAGCAACCAAACCCGACCCGATGATAGTATGCTTCCCCCTGTCTGCCTTACCGTGCTTCCCCCCACGGTAAGGGGGAAGCACGGTAAGGCAAAAATATACAAAGGCTTAAAATGGAATAAAAATGAGCATGCCCTATCTGGCTAAAGTAGTAGAACAATTTGACATAGATTTGGAGTCAGTGGGTCAAATGACCTGGAAGCTATTGAAGAAATATCAATTATTTTTGTAATAAAAAATTTTCAAAAACATGCATAGGCTTAAAATTGAATAAAAATGAGGGTGCCCTATTAGGCTAATGTAGTAAAACAATTTCACAAAGAATTTGAGTCGGTGGGTCACATGACCTGGAAGCTATTGAAGAAAAGTACCAACTTTTGTCTTAAAAATTGAAAATAGCTTAAAACTGCATAACAGCAAGTGTTGCTTACCTATATGTTATCTATTGGCATGATTTTATATTAGTTTCGTCTTAGCTGGTCATAAGATAAGGAATTTATTGATTTTTCTTTGAACCAAGAGTGCTTGTTTCAAAGATTTGTTGACGAACCCTAACTGCGCCACTGCGTGTGTGAGGATCAACCGTTTGCTAGATCCCACTGACTCGACGGAGCTTGAATATCCAATATCCAACTTCAAAAATCTTCACCGCGGTGCTGACGGTTCTGCTGCACTGTAGTCGACCAAAATCCCGGAAGATTTTGAAATTCCCCCCGGACATTTTTTTAGGTATAAAAAGTAGGAAATGTCTGGGAAAAAGAGAACGTCTGGTCACCCTATGTGAGATACAAGGTATAACAGTTCTGGGATGTGTACTATTTGCTCAATGAAAGAAGTGCTTGTAAACCTTCCCTGTGCATGCACAGTGGTGGACACAGCTCAATTGGGCTTGCACTGCACGCTCTAGTCAATTGATACTCGCCCCGCCAATACAGACAAGATATCTACCAAAATCCTCTTGACAATGCAGAAAACATCTGCCAATGTGCAACATAGCTCCTTTACAAGGCATGCTGTGGATCCCAGTAGCTCAGTGTCATTTACGTCTCCCTTTTCTTCAATTCTTTGTTTTCTCACTATGACAGGATTGGTTCTTTTGTCAATTTAAAAAATAATTGCATATCAATTGGAGCCATTATCTATTTGCTATGTATAAAACTACCTCTTCGTTATATTCTGCTGTGGATGAACTTAGCATTGCTATATAATAATGGATACCTCATATGACTACAGCGTGACATACTGAAGCCATCATTAGAAGTATACAAAACAGGTTTATTTTAGAGACCATTAGACATTTAAAGTAAATGAAACACTGCTTTGACAGTTGGATTTGAATTTAGCAGAAATTTAATTGACAAAAAAATATTTTGCAAAAACATTAAACAATATCCTAATAATCCTAATATCCTAATAAATAGTGGTTATAATACTAATACTTAATACTAAACAAATAATTTTGCCTGTAACAAAAGTCACATAAACTTATATAATACAATAAACTTCTTAATGAAGTTTATTAAGGGTACAACAGATGTGAAAAACTGAGTTGGGTAGTAGAGTAGAAAACTATAATTTCATAAATCTGGCCTTTAAGGATGATCATCAAAAATAAAGAATTTTCCCAAGTCGTTAGTAGTCAAAGTTCAAGTATAGAATACATTTTTTTTTCTTAAAACTGCATTTTTTTTTAACCGATCCTGAAATCTATTCATCCAGGTAAATGTTGTCATTGCTTATTTTCTGCGTGCAGGGAACTAGAAACATTTATTTCATTATTTTTAAGGTTAATTGGGATATAGCTGCTTAATAAAGTGCAGAGTCAACATATGGTTCAAGTCACTCATATCAGATCTTTTCACTGTTGAACCTAAACAACAACTTTTTTGTGTGGTTTTGGTGCCTTTGCTTTAACCACTTACACATATAACCCAAGTGGAATCTTATCAATTTTACACACACTGCTTGATCTGTTTCTGTGAAACATGTGGTAGATTTGACAAAACTAGCTGGAGGAAATCTCACACAAAGTATCATCTGTGTAACTCTGTTCTGCCACTGTGTCCTCGTTTGACTGAGCAGTCAACAGATCACCCCTCTCTAAGACTTTTTTGTTAGTTTATGCAAAATCATGCAGAAACCGCCTGCAAAACTGAATGCTGTGACCAGTGAGCTGAATGCATCCATCCTTTAAATACGATGGTGCGGATATTACATGGTCTCTGTAAGCATTGCAAAATGTGTGGCCAGCCATGAGTCTTGTCTATGTGACGCAAATGTGTGTAAAGGTCGAGGAGCACCACAGGCGAGCTGACAAAATATCCTTTCCAATTAACTACTAACACTGTAAGAGGCTTTGTTGCTCACATTTTCCGTTTTCACCCGAATGTTCTTAGTGGAAACAAGTTGGTGATGTCATTTTGTCTGAAAATATAATCATGAAGAAAAATGCTGTTCACTGACAAATAAAAAGAGCTGGAACTGAGCACAGTTTCTATCTATCTATCTATCTATACACATGCATACATACACACACATCTGCCAGAGTTGGAAAAATTGAACTTTTGCTGCTCGACCAATCAGAGAAGGTGATCTGGGAGCTGGCAGGGAGACAGATACAGCACTGCTGATGCAGAGTGCTATGATCACCCCTCTGAAACAGTTTATTAATGCCAAGTGCTTAACGTTTATTTAAAATGCATACAAAAAAAGAAAAAAATACATAAAATCGCAATATTGATTTACACCTTGATGATGTGTAGCATAGTATCTTACTTCAGTTTAAAGTTAGTGAGTTTTAAGGTTATTTATTTTACTGATTCTATTGAGTGCCGGCTGGGTGCTTACTGATACCCATTCCTGAATCTCTCAGACATCCTACTCCTGTCACATTTCTGAATTTTTTCATTAAACCAATTTATCTTATTTATCGTAATTTTGAACTACAGTCTGTTTAAAAAAACATAATATGACAATTTAATTAATGTAAGGTTATTCTTATGTCTACTTTTTCAATTTGCCTCTTTTTGTTATTGAAGATTATGTTTGGCAAGTCATTATGTCTTTCTTTCTGAGTGTCTTAAAGCAACCCTCCACCTAATCCCAACCACTTCACATCACCCCGACAGAGTAATTTAGAAGTCTTGACCACCTGCTAATTCTGCCTACTGACCCCCAGTGTCTAGACTCCAGGATTTTTATCCTTTAGTCTTGTCTTGAAAACAAATCTTTTAAACTTACACACAAAGTGCCCAGTGAATGTCTTCAAGCTCCTTGAAGATCTATCTAAATTTTCACATGACAACAACAAACTTTAATGTATTTTATCAGGATTTAATCAAACAAAGGAACATATAGAAATTAGTAATTTTCTAATTGTGCAGAATTTTTTTTTGCTTTTTAAGATGTTTTACAATGTGAAAAGTGTGGCATGCATGTGTATTATGTTCACTTTGATAGTCCTAAACTTAATAAAATGCAGTACAACCATTTGCATCGGCTTTACAGTTTATTTTTAATCGTCAATGGAGATGTTCTATGAATATCTCAGTTTTTAAAATACATTACTTTGACAAAAACTGTTGAAAAGGCCAAGGAGCAGAACCAGACAGGTTAGGGATTAAGTTGCATTGTTTAAAGAAACGTTAGGTTACAAAAAGATGTGCAAAGTTTTAAACATCTGACATGGCACTGTTCAATCCATCATACAACTTTGGAAAGAAAAGACAAAAATGCAGAATTACAAAGTTGACAAGCAAAAGTTTACAAGTTTGCCACAGAGAGTATTATCAGAGGAAGAAGTACTTGTTACATTTGGAGAAGCTTCAACTCAGATTTGAGGAATCTACATACAGGATCATTACTGGTGTACTCTAGTCCATACTTCTGAAGTCTCGCCAAATATATAACTTATACAAATGACATTCTAATTTAAATGTTGGGACTGAAGGCTAACACTATATTGAAGAGCTGGTGGAGGCAGCATCAAATTTCCTCTTACAAATGGTATTCTTTGCTTGAAAAAAATAATGGGACAACATTTACTCCATAGCACCAGGCCCTGTGACTCTTCCCTGCTCCGCAAGCAGACTGATGCAGACGCAGAAGAGGTTCAAACCAGCAGCCCACTGGTTGCTACAGAAGAAAAACCTGCCATGGTGAGACACTGTTGTGATCATACCTGAAATCTGTTGCAAATTGTGGCTGCCTTTTGGGCGAGCAAAATAAATCCACTCTGCTTTCCCACGCTCTGGTGACATTTAACAAAAAAAAAAAAAAAACTCCCTATCAAAATGGAGCTTTCAGCACCACTTTTGCACCCATTATCACTTTGCACGCAAACTGAGCAGACAACCTGCAA